TGCTGCAGACAAAAACAACAGTTTAAAAAAATAAACTTTCAAAAAAAAACGTGTATAGGTCGTAAAAATAAACATGCATTTTACGTACTGTAGTCGTACTCTCTCTCACACTCACTCGCTCGCTCACCCCCACCGTCACTCACCACCCTCCCTCTGTAACCTCCCCCTCGCCTCTCCTCGCTCCCCCCCCCCAACTTCACTCACCCACCCACCCACACTCCATCACCCCACCGTCCACCTCTCACCCCACCACTCTTCGCAATCGCATGTGCTCCTCTCCTCCCCTCCACCCACACTCTCTCTTTTTTACTCCGAGCCCCCAGCAGTACCACCAGCACCATCATCTCTCTTTCTCTCTCTCCCTTTTCTCTCTCCCCTGTCTTTTACCACTCTCCTCCCTCTGTCCCTCCCTCCTCTAAAGCCTTCAGGCTCTGCTTGATTTATGCTTGCCCTCCCTATCCACCACCACCACCACCACCACCACCCACCCTTCCCTATCTCTCCTGGAGGTTGTGGCCCGGCTAGTCCCTAAAAACAACAGAGAGAGAGAGAGAGACAGAGAGACAGAGAGAGAATAACAACCTCTTTTACTTTCCATCCTCCCTCCTTTTTAACCCAGCATTTTTTTCATTCCCCTCTCTCCCACACTGCTTTTTAAATTGCCTCTGAATTCTTGAGCTGTTTTAGTGCCTCACTCCCCCTTCTCGGCCGAAATTACTTTTTTTTTTACCCTCTCAAACTCAATGCTGAGGAAGCGAGTTCCACCTTCTCCTCCCGTCTTTGTCCACACGAGGACAAACACTACTACTAATCGCATGTCCAGCGTTTTGGGGGTGGGGGGGGGGGGCATGTTTGCGAAGGAGAAGGGAGAAAAAAAAAACTAAAACTTGTTGATGTGGAAGCATGTCGCTGTAACGTCGGGCAGACAATGGCAGCAAAGTCTTGTGACAACACGGCTCTTGTAATGCTCTCGTTCCTTTTCAACCTCGGGGGGGGGAGGGGGGGGGGGCGGCTGTGCCATTAGCCAGGCCAACTTATGGCAAAGCTTCTTTCTTTTTCACTTGCTTGTATACACACACACACACACACACACACACAGACACACACACACACACACACACACACACACACACACACACACACACAGTATCTTTCCTCTTTTGTTTGCACTCAAACATGAACACAGGCCCTACTTTCTTCTCTGACAGCTCTCTTGTGGTGGAAAAGCCTCAGTAACTCGTTGCTTAACCACCCTGGAGTGTTTTCTCTCCATTGTGTTTTGGCTACTGTTGATTTGAAGGCATGGTGTGTGTGTGTGTGTGTGTGTGTAGGTGTTAAAGGAGTGTGTCCATCAACAGCCAGGTCACGTGTGTAGCGCTTTGTGTATCAATTTACATTTCTTTCATCCATTTATTTATCAAAAACACGTGTTTTAAAAAAATAAAAACTCCCTCACATAACAGTGTTTGGCTTCATTAAGAGAGGAAGGAGGTATTTGTTGAGACACACAACACACACACACACACACACACACACACACACACACACACACACACTCCTTAAACGCAATCAGAACAGAAGATCAGGGGTCAAACTGGGTCAGCTGACCCTTCCCTCCCGTTTCAGGCCTTCTCTTTCCTCCTCTTTACTGCGTCAAAGCGTGCTTTCTAATAATACAACTCCCCTTGTGAAACACACACACACCCACACCCACACACACACACACACACACACACTTAACTCAGATACACAGTGCAGTCTCCAACCACAGCGCCATAAAACAATATCTTCTATCCATTAGCCGTAACTCTCTCAATGGATGATACATGCAGTATCCCTCACCACACATTTGAAGTATAGCTCAACACACACACACACACACACACACACACATCTTTTATTCCAAGGCAAGTCTTATTCCGCCTTTGCTTTTTTTTTTCCCACTCAAGCCCCCACATAGCTCGCAGCATCACACACACACACACACACACACACACACACACACACACACACACAC